GTAACCTTCATAGATGAATGTACCAGATACACATGGGTTTTCCCTTTAAATAATAAATCAGAGGTTTTTACAACATTTGTGCAATATTACGCTTATCTATGCACTCAATTCTTTGCAAAACCAAAAGTTTTACAAAGTGATGGTGGGGTGAGTATGTCAGCACAAAGTGTCAACATTTCTTATCACACCATGGCATGTTACATCAACGATCTTGTCCTTACACCCTAGAACAAAATGGGTTAGCAGAAAGGAAACATAGGCATATTGTAGAAACTGCCATTACCTTACTTCGAACTGCACATTTACCATCTAAGTTCTGGTTTTATGCATGTGTTGCAGCAATATATTTGATAAACAAAATGCCATCAGCTGTTTTAAAAATGAAATCCCCTTTTCAATTGTTATTTCATAAAATTCCAGATATTAGTCATTTAAAAGTTTTTGGTTGTGCATGTTTTCCCCTACTCACCCTATACAATACCTTCAAATTGCAACCAAAAATGAAAACTTGTGTCTTTCTGGGATATGCAGGTCACTATAAAGGGTTTATTTGTCTCAATATGGTCACTCAAAGAACTTACATATCTAGGCATGTCTTGTTTAATGAAACTACTTTTCCATACGAAGGATCATTCCCTTCTTCACCAGTGTCAACACCAGAAAATTCACATGAGCATTCTCTAAATCCTACACCAGCATCCATATCATTACAAAATCAAGTTGTGTCCCCTGCATCTCATACTCCTTCATCATCATTTACAGCCACGGATTATTTGAACTTGCATTCATCTAGTGCTTCAGATTCTTTGACTGCATCAAGAGCCTCAGAATCATTGAATACACTTGCATCTAATGCCTCAGAGTTTATTCCTTCCCCTACACAGATCTTACATGTTAATTCTGCCTCTTCTACATAGTATCCCATTCCTGTGGATCCTGATTTTCAACAAGAGAACCTGCAAGTTCTATTAAACATGCCTATGAATATTTACCCTATGCAAACAAGGTCCAAAAATGGTATTTTCAAACGCAAGGCTCTTTTTGCCTCTCTAAGCTCCTCTCAGGCATCCATCACAGAACCAAAATCCTTCAAGGCAACTTCCAATGTATTAGAATGGCAAGAGGCTATGAAAGAGGAAATTAGTGCTTTGCATACACAACAGACTTGGTCTCTGGTTCTGTTGCCACCTAACAAGAACCTTGTTGGCTGCAAATGGGTATACAGGATTAAAAAGGATGCAAATGGTTGTATTGCCCGATATAAGGCACGTCTTGTTGCAAAATGATATAGCCAGGAAGAAAGAATTGACTACAACAAGACTTTCAGTCATGTGGTGAAGCCTACTACCATAAGATTAATCCTTGCATTAGTTGCACATTTCAATTGGCCTCTCAGACAAATGGATGTCAAAAATGCCTTTTTTACATGGCGTTCTCCAAGAGGAAGTGTATATGGCACAACCTCCAGGATTTCAAAGCACAACACATCCTCCTCATTATGTTTGTAAGTTACAAAAGTCTCTATACAATCTTAAACAGACCCTTAGAGCCTGGAATGATAGATTTACAAGTTTTTTACCTGGCTTAGGATTCAAAGCTTCCCAAGCTGATCCCTCCTTGTTTGTTCAACATTCATCCAAAGGCACTGTAGTCTTACTGTTATATGTTGATGATGTGATACTCATTGGTAGTAGTTCTGAGTTAATCTCAGGTGTGATTACAAGTCTCACATATGAGTTTGATATGATAGACTTGGGGCAACTGAATTATTTCTTGGGGTTACAGATCAGTTATACACCAGGAGGGCTGTTTGTCTCACAAACAAAGTACATTACTGAGTTGGTTGCAAAAGTTGACTTGCAAGATTGTAAACCATGTGCTACACCTTGTTTACCATATCATCGATTACTTAAAGAATGATGGCAAACCATATCATAATCCTGAGCAGTACAGAAGCATTGTCGGTGCCCTTCAGTATCTCACCTTTACAAGACCAGATATAGCATTCTCAGTGAATCAAGCCTGTCAGTTTATGCACAATCCTATGGAATCTCATGTTATTGCAGTTAAACGGATCATACGATATCTCAAAGGAACCTCAAACTTTGGTATTTAGTTTCGGCTAGGACCAATCCATTTATAGTCCTATAATGATGCAGATTGGGTCAGGGATCCTAATGATCGCAGGTCTACTTCAGGTTTTGTTATATTTCTTGGTTCCAATCCGATTTCTTAGTCATCCAAGAAGCAACACATAGTTTCCAAGTCTTCCACAAAGGCTGAGTATAGAGCCTTAGCCATTACAGCTGCAGAGTTGGCTTGGATTCGACAGTTGTTTTGTGATTTACATGTTCCTATTCAAAGTCCTCCACTAATCTATTGTGATAACATCTTAGCAATTGCCCTTTCAACGAATCCCTTTTTCATGCCAAGTCTAAACACATCTAGATCGACTATCATTTTGTAAGGGAACTGATCATTCGAGGAGATCTTCTAGTTCAACATGTCTCTTCTGCTGAACAATCAGCCGACATACTTACAAAAGGGTTGTCCACTCCTTTGTTTCAACACCACTGTGGCAATCTGATGCTCAATTCCCTTGAGCATCCGATTGAGGGGGGATATAAGGATTCAAGTGAAGAAGAAAACAGTTATCCAAGTGAAGAGAAGATTAAGGGTCAAACTAAATGACACTTGTCAATAGATTAAAGAGATAAGCTATTAGAAGTAGTTAAAAGCTATTAGAATTATAGTTGAGATAAGGAGGTGGACGATTAGCAGCTAAGGAAAGTGAGAATATATAACTGAAATTGTAATCATAGCAGCTTAACAAGAAATCAATACTTTTCTCTCTCTTTCTATCTCTCTCTCTTCTTCCTCTACATACTATGTAATTCTCAAGAACATATTCATTGAAGCTTCCTTAATGTTTACATTATAAGTCATCACAAACTATACCATATGTGTACTAAATTTGATAACTTTATTAGTCAATACTAAAATTTCCATCCCACCACATTGACATGTCACATCAGTGTCACACCAAAAATTTCTCAAAAAGTTATAACAACACACTACATATCGATACCTCATCATAACAACATTACCCAAGTAAGGTATCTCATCATTAGTCTCTATTGACACATACTTAGTTGTAGTTTACTTGAAAATAATTTGGGTAAGCTTACAATTCTTACAAATTCAGAAGGCATTGATGATCATGACCTTATAATGGCGACAACTTTGATGGAAAGTAAAATAAAATAGTCACTGCATGCAGCATGTACTGAATTGGCAAAGGGGCAAATGCCCCGTTCCTTCTTGGTCTTGGTCCATTCAAAACATGCAGCTATGTGAAAACTGAGTTCATCCAATCCAACTCCAACTGTATCGTCACAATAGCGTGTGTTTTTGCCACATCCCCCACGACTCCATGCATGTGTTTGCATGCTGGCATCTTTTAATTCCCCCAAAGTACGAAAAGTAGCAGTTGAATTTATATATGTTTTGGTCTGTGGCCGTACACCTAGAGAATCCATCTCTCCGCTCCCACATCGACCGAATAACTCAAAATTTTAGGCATCGGAGTATCGAACAAAACAAAGTAAAGTCAAGACATGTAGGCGTAAGCAACCAAATTTGCCATCAAACAGTTGAGTCCTTAGATTAATGTAAAAAATTCCATCTCTAGTGAGAGAGAGAGAGAGAGAGAGAGTTAGAATTTCATATTTTTGCATGAGAAGAAAAGGACCATGAGACGCGGTTTTAGCTAGGGCTCTGCGAGACAGCAATACACAGCTGTGTGTATTACCTATGCAAATGCAAAGGCTTACTGCAAACTGCGCGTACGTTTTTGAGTGTTTTGTTAACTTATATTTTAAACTATATATATAACATTTTTTATATGTATATTTATATAACATTTTGTATTCTTTCTTTTTTCATTAGTTCGAACATTAAAGTATACATACATTTTTCTTTTGTGTTTCACAGCCCAAATTAATTATAAACTGCAGATCGTGGAACCCCTAGAGAGAGAGAATCCTATTTTTCTCTTATAAAGATATGATGCTGCCCTGATTATGTAGATAATATATATATATATATATATATATATATATAATTTAGTTATTAAAGATTAACATAATATATAAGATAATTTACATGGATATATATCAAAATAACCCTTTTGCCCTTCGTTTTATTTTCTGAGTAACTTTTTTTGTTAATTAAGTATTATTGTTGGGTGTCAACTAGGGAAGGAGTGAGTTCTTGTGTAAGTCATAAACTCTCTAGACAAAGTCATTTTACTTTAATATTTAATAGAACTTTCCATGCTGGTTACTGATTTGGGCATATGGATCCCAGGTTTGCAATATTCGTTGACAATGAAAACTTTTACACTTTTAAGTAGATTGCTCTTGATTTTATTTTTATGCAACTGCCAGCATCTTAAAAAACTTAAATTTAAGTATCATTTTCTTTCTTTTTCCAAATTTAACCAACAATATATCATTATAAAATCTACATCGACTAGTCTAAAAAAAAAAAAAAATTATTTCGGCACACATTTTTTCTTTTTTCGCAAATCCTTAGTTATGTGGTTTGTTGATTTATTATACTTGAATTGATTAAAATGTCAAAAATAAGCATAAGTATGTGTAAGAAGAAAAAAAAAAAGTATAAGTAATTAATTTCCTAATGTAAATACCCTCACAAACTTGCAAACAATCTTCATGGAAAGTTGGAAGACTAGTACTTTTTTTTCATTGAATTTGTGAATTTTGGGCCATGTGAAGCTAAACCCTACCTTGACTGAAATACGACAGGAAAGTAACTTCAAGGATACAAGATATTTGATTTCTATTTTAATTGTACAAACTTGAAATTATCTGTCACCCACCATTTTCAATAATATATTAATTAACGAAGTATAGAGCTATACTGTTTTCCTTTTTTGACTAGAGATCAACATCTATAAATACCAGCAACCTTTTCTTTTGAGTTGATTCATTCATTCACTTTGCACAAGAAACTAACGAAGAAGCTAACAACTTTTGAGAGAAGAGAAACACAGAGGCAGCCAATCACCTTCAACTTCATCTTTCATCAAGAAATCAAGCATTGTGTTCCATTGTAACAATGGTGAAGACAGATCAGAGGATTATTCAGCTGCCTTCAGAGATGACATCGTCGAAAACGACATCGAAGTCTCCATCTTCTTCTTCTTCTTCTTCTTCTACCTCAGCATGCAAGAAGAAGAAGTTTAAGGGAGTGAGGATGAGGAGCTGGGGCTCTTGGGTTTCAGAGATTAGAGCCCCAAACCAAAAAACAAGAATATGGTTAGGTTCATATTCGACAGCTGAGGCTGCGGCAAGAGCCTACGATGCTGCCCTACTGTGCCTCAAGGGCTCCTCAGCCAACCTCAACTTCCCCACCACTGCCTCCTCACATTTTATCCCCCAGGAAATGACCGTCATGTCCCCCAAGTCCATCCAAAGAGTGGCTGCAGCCGCTGCCAATAATAATGCCGCTACCACCACCGCAAACATTGCCTGTCCACCATCACCCCCTCCTCAATCTTCGTCTCTTCATCTTTGGTCTCGTCTCCGTCTCTGGTCTCGTCGCCATCAACGTCGTCCTCGCCGTCCATTAACCTCATCGATGATGACATGTCATTGCTAATGGGGTCATTTGGGGGGTCCTACACTCCCACTTACTATGATCAAGCAAATGATCAATTACCAATGTCTAGCATGGATTCATGGAACAATTTTGACCAAATGTTCGATGGCGCATTGTTGGATCCACAGCCACCTATGATATATGACTTTTATGAGGAAAGTGACATTCGTTTGTGGAGCTTCTGCTGATCGACGACGATGAAAATTATTATTTTCTTTTTAGTCACAATTATTCATGATCTTCGAAGCCATTGTTTAAAGATTTTACTGACAGTGACACAAATTATTTACATTCTATATGAGTGAATGAGATAGGTGAATTAGAAATTCCAAATGGAGAGATGTGAGACATCTTTTTGGACTCTATCTCACATGGGTTTCTAATATATTATATTTGTATTTATGTATTTATGTATTTGTTAATGAAAATTAAGTGTGTAATACTATTGTTATTATTATTAATGAAACCTTGTCAATGGTCTTACATACATTTTAATTGAATAAGGAGTGGAAATTTTGAATTTTAATTTCTTCCAATTTCAGCTATGTCACATGTTATGCATCTTGTCTCATGTGGGAGACTCACTTATTGTGTTATGGAGATGTCAGATATGCCTATCTCAGTTGGAACAAATTAAAGAACAAGAGCAGGAGAGGGTTGTGGAGACTTGAAACCATCTGAATTTGTTTTCAGCTCAAGGAACAATTTTGTACTCTTTTTAAAAATAAAATTAAATAAAAAAATAAAAAACTACTATTAACACTTCAAGAATTTTATTATACACTTCTTACAAATGTAATTTTTTTTACTAATTATAAAAAGTTTGGAGTACAAAATGAGATTTTAGAGTGCCAGTAATAATTCCTAAAAAAAAAAAAAATTCTACCTAAGGGAAATCACTGTGATTAGAGAAACAAAGACTTGTATTAGACCCAATTCCCATGACTTTAATTGCATCTAGTCATATGATAAACAGTGACGAGCGTGCATTTGGGTTACTTAATTTGGAACTTATGCAAATAAACACATCAAATATACTACTAGATTCTTATTAATGAGTATTCAAAAGATCAAAAACTTATTAAGTGTCAGATAGTCTAGATCTACTAATATTATCAAACTACCATGTTAATCATGTGAACTTTTCTTCGAAACTATAGTTGAATTAACAGTACGACAATACAAACTTTGTAAGTATGTGATTATTCTGAGTGTGGAATAGTCTAGCTAAAAGATAACACACATTTACAACAAAAACGATCATAATCAAATTTAAATACATATCATATTTAACTGAACTGTTTTGTCATCGTATTATGACAAAAACAATCCCACGAACAAGTCATTTTTTTCATCCTAAAAGAATGACATGCCTTCGAAAGTATGTGTCTAATCAACTTCTTTAGAGATTGAATCGACAAATTTGATACTCTGTGATCAACTTTTGAATCTGGTCAAGTGTTTTGAAGCAGTAGTGGTTTGAGCCAAGATTGCACATGATCTGCCCTCAAAGGGCAGTGGTTGAGAGCGTGGGATCCCATACGCATTTGCTCCCTTCACACTGTATTTGGCCTCTTCGCAATTTTCTCTCTGGGCCATACAAATTTGGAAATATGTGAATTCCTCATAAGTTAAGAGGAGTGACTCATCACTTCATGAGGACCCCTTCTGCCTTTGGATATTAGAATATGGGCATTTTTGGGCCCTCAGAATTAAGCGAGTACATTGGATTTCTGCAATTTATAAAACTACTTTGAGCCACATGATAGCCCTTAATGACAAAGTTTCTAAAACTACATTCCACGAGACAACATGTGATTTCTCATTACAAAGCTTCAAATACTAATCCCAAATTTCCATGGTCCTATATATTATTGTTGTCCTAATTTTGTTGATATTAAAAGGTTCATTGTTTGGCATAATGAAGCAAATTTTATGTTGTATTTTCTGCAGGATTCTACTCTTTGGAAGTATATATGCTATATTGGTTCATCATGTAAAAATTAAAAGATGTACTTTGAATAAATAATTCAGGGTTGGAATTACATTATAATCCAAAGAAAGTTGTTTTCTTTCTTTTATACCAAATAAAAATAAAATTGGTTCTATCATTGAGTATAAAATGGCATATGATTCTATGAACATTGCATTAGAGATTGTTGTGTTTGTTTATATTTGGCTCAACTTGTTTTAAATCCCATTTTTCTTTGTTTGAGATGTTTTTGGTCGTTTGTTAATCGGCTCTGAAAATTTTCAGCATAATCAAAGCTGAACAGCACGATTCAATGACAAACTAGGTCTTACCGAAAGTTTTCTCGATTAAGAGAACAAAATATCCTTTGTTTTTCTTAATTAAAATGCTTATGCAATTTGTTTTTCGTAATTAAAATGATTATGCCATTTTTTTTCTTAATTAAAAGGATTATGATGCTCAATGTGTGGCCTCATGGGTCAGATCCAACATGGGCATAACTTCAATGTTTTAGCCTTTTAGGCTAGGCCTCGTTAGGACAAAATCAAGGTTGGTAATTGATTTTTGACCAAAAAAAAATGGTTTGTAATTGATTAATTCCAGGGGGTTTGTCTGTCTTTCTATTTTATTTTATGTGTCTATTATTTAGATTTTGAGAATCAATATCAGGGGTTTTGTTTATGTCTTGATTTGAATAGTGTTTAAACTTAAGTTTGGTGCATTTAGTACTACGGTCTAGTAGTATTTCTGTTTACTTGTAAGTGAAAAGTCTTAGGTTCTATTCTCACTAAAGATGAATTTGAATCATATTGTTACTAGCCCCATTGTGAGCCTACTCCCCCCCACCCCCTCAATGTAAGCTTAGGCTACGCTTACCATTTGAATTGTGTTACACTGTTAGAATGGACAACAGAAAATTAATCATTAGAGATATGCGTTAAAATATTGAGAGGTATTATTAGCATTCTAACAAATGTATATTAATGCTGCGTACATATGCCTATTCGTGAACTAAAGTTGAGTAAGTAGAGCTTTCGAGCTTAATTAACTTAATGGCATATTCATGAATTTTTCTTCGCGGGAGCGTATAATATAGCCGACTACCTACTTTAGTTGCCTTGAGACATTTCATATATCGAACACTTTTATCATGCCTTAAGAAAAATATCGAATATAAACTGCGTTCTACGCTAAATAGTGGTGAAGTCTCAAATCAGTTGAAACTTATTTGAAGAGGACGGGCAAATAAATGATGCACCGCTTATTTTGCTGCTAGAAATAGTGGCAGTCTTTGTAGGGACTTTAGAGGATGTTGTCCGATTAGAAGACGATGCTTTGAGGGTCCGAGAATTGAGAAGACACCCACGACTCCATTTCTTGTCCTAAATTTGTGGAAATCATTGCTTAAAATTTGAGGATAGGCAATCCCTTGAGTTTGTTGATGTGACAGCGTTGGTGAAGAAGGTCTCGTCATCAGATCTAAAGCTGAAACTAATTACTGCATCTTTGGCGGCGAGGCTTTCTTTCTGAAACTAATTTCTTGAATTTGTACAAGTAGATAAGCAAATGGTGCGAAAGTGTTTTCTTTTTTTTTTTTTTTTTTTTTGGGTTGTATAAGCATCGATTCCAATTGCCCTAAAGCATTCGTCTCCCGCTAAAAGTAAAATGGCCCCAATCACAAAGAGATCAATGTACAGGTTAGTAGAAACTTGGAAGGACTAAAAGGAAAGAATTCATAAACCATAACTGTTCCATGACATGAGTTTCCTGTGGACATATATAAGAGCAATTAGAGATCAACCACATACATTATGAAATCAAAATTTATGATACATTTTGTGCTTTCATTGATTAACTGCTTTTTTTTCCTTAAAAAAAATGACTAATTGGTGACTTCGCCACGACAGTCTACCATTTCGAGAAATGAAAAGTAGAGGTGGGCAAACGGGTCGTGGACCTGCTGGTCGGTGCAGGTCCAAGCGGATCGGGGCGGGCTCAAATATTTCAAAGAAAAAATGGGACGGAACGGGCAGGCAAGTCCAAAAATTAGGAGAAACGGGCCCCCGACCCCAACCTTTTCTATCATTTTCTCAGTCAAACAAATAGACCGACTCATCTCAGAGTCTCTCGTGAGCTCATCTGTCCCATCCATTCCCTACAGCCATCTCCAATTCACCGTCACTCTACTCCGTCTTCATCTCCCTCTCTCTAGTGGCTTGCGACCGCCACCAGCATCGTCTAGGGCCAGCGCCTGCGAATCGAAATCGATCAGGAGGCGTCGCGTTCGAGATGCTCGCGCCTTGGATCATAAATAAACATAAATGTAGAGAAAAACAAAGAGTATGCAGCATTTCCCCATCCATCACATTCACTCCCAATCACCAATGGGCTCATCCTACACACCTTATGGGCTTTGTTTTCCATGTGGATTACATCATTTTTCTTTTGTCTAAAATCTGATCCAACCGATAAAACCCATTTGATTAAAAAATCTCGACAACCCGACTCCGAGTCGAAGAACACCAAATTACTTTATCGGGTTCCGAGAGAGGGAAGAAAGCCTTCCAATTTAAGTTTACTATCCGGTTCTGCGTACTCATCGCCGTCTTCTGTCTGCCCACACTCTTTCCCCCACTCTTTCAGTATTGCCTCTGCCTCTGCAAAACCTGTACTGAAGCACTCATGGGTCTCTCCGAAGAACAGCTGCTTGCCCGTTTAAAGGTCTCTCTCTCTCTCTCTCTCTCTCTACTTTACAATGGTAGAAGGGCACCAAAGGAATTTCAAACTAAGAATCAATTAGAACACGACAATGGACAGCGAAGGGGAATGAACCTGCATTGTTGAGTATGGCCGTGGTTTCAGAATTTTACTGATGCGCATCTCTTTAAAAGAAGATAAATGAATATGGGAATAAGTTATGTAGTCTTTTTGCGTCGATTAATCACATGTTCTGAAGCAAGAATATGATTTGTTTTCATCAGGCCAAATATGTTGGAAATCTTTCTTGCTTTATGCATCATTTGAAATGTTGGAGTTTGTCTGAATACTTATGAGCTTTATCTACAACTTGAAAGCTGAGCAGCTCTATCTGTGAGGCTTCGCTTGAGAATGGCTCCTGAAGTAGTTTAATTATCTTTTGAAATGATTTAAATCAGTTACTCCTAACCATGTGGTTTATATTGTATAGCCTATGCTTTTTACATATGATCAATGACCAACTGAATAAAGTCGTAATTCTTACCATTTTGGTTTTCTGGAAAATTAAATCGTGACCATTCTTATCATTTAGGTTGTGGAAATAATTATCTTTTCACCCGAAGTCATGTTATTTAGCCTGCACATGTTGATACTGTAATCATTTTTCTTTCATATATAATCTTGAGTGAATTCTCTTATGCTTTTTCTGCCTTCTTTTTTTTTCTTTTCTTTTCGTGAAGCTATGTCTCTCTGTTGTCGGATCACAAATTTAAAAGTCAGGAGCGGTGCTTCTTCCACCCTTTATCGTATGACATGTCAATCTGTAAGTGATAAGGGTTGAATGAGAGGAAATGATATATGTTTCTCATCTGTTTTGAAAATTCTGTGTGTGTACTTATAATTCTCCTGAAGTTTTATGTTGCTTTATAATTTACTTGTGGATTCTTCATTTTTATAAACCTCGTACACTACTGTTATATGAGTAGTCTTACCCAGAATGTCTGTTTTTGTGGCTATAGCGTGAGCATAATGTTACAAGTTAACTGCTCGCAATTACCTTGAGGAATTTTGTTGTCATTTGGGATAGATTTGGAATAGTCTAGGCTAAGAACCACTACTTTCAATTGTAAGGTTTCTGCTGGTCTTATCGTATTATTTTACTTGGTTGAATTCATATGAGCATTGGAGCAACAATTCATTTTTTGGTGGCTTACACAATAATGTCATAAGAAGCATGGGTATGGCAATAATTCTAGATCTATAGAACTTTGGTAACAAGATATCTGCAGAAGCAGTGTTACTTAATAAGTTTAATGATGTGTAGTCAACGAAGATTTTACAAGTGTGCATCTGTATTGTGTCCGTGCACACTTGTGTTTCTGTGCATTAGTGTGTTTAATGAGGCATTAATTGTTGAGAGCTTCCGGAGTAATATGACTGGACATCTTGTTACTAAATAATTGGATGTCTTAAAGAGTTATGTGTGTGCCTGATATGAGCCTTTGGATTCTCTGTAATGGATTTTATTTTGTTTGTTTTATCTTAACTATTCTGCAACTGAACAAATTCATACTTGATTTATGGTTTTTATTCCGGAAAAGAATTTCCATTGCTATCAATATATGTTCAACAAAATTTTAGTTTCTTACTCAAAAAAGTTGTGTATGTTATCATTCTCAATAAGTTTACCCCTGATCCGTGACGAAATTTCTGTTTCCAGCACTTAGTACCCATGATCTTGACGGGTTTCTAAAATCAATTGGGAGAGACCCCTCATATGTTGACTTGGAAGTAATGAGACTTATGTTTGTCTCCATAGTTTAAAGAACACTGAATCATTTTATCAAAAATTATTTGTCTCATGCAGGCTAACCCATCGGTTGGGAAGGATCAACCGCCTGATCTTGCCTGCTTTGTTCCGTCAGGTTCCACAGTGTTGCCAGACCCTCCACAACCAGCAACTTCCTCAAAAGGTCATGTAGAAATTCAAGTTTCTGTGGATAACAAATCAACAGCAAGTACAGGTACTGTCATGTGAAACTGCACTCTGCAGAAATATAGAAATACAATGAGAGTTGATTCCACGATAAATTCTCCTAGTATAGTTCTATGATAATTAAAGTTGCCATGCTGTTATGGTACTTTCTACATTTAAGTAGCTCGTTTCCGATCATTTTTTCAGAGAGATATTAGCATTTTTTTTGTTTGGGGATTGTGGAGATGTTAAAATTGGGCTTCCTGTTTTTCATTCATGTTAACCAGTAAAATATTCTTTCATGATGCAGTGAACTCTTCTAAGCCATCCACTAGTGCAAAAAGAACTAAGGACAAACAGGTCAATGGTGTAAATGTGACGAAGACCGTAACACATGTTCAAAGTTTGGTTGAAGATTTACTTGATAAAACATCTTCTCTATTACTTTCAGAGGTTTGAACAATACTATGCTTTTCTCCAATTTCAACTTTAGCAGTAGTTTATTAGGCACATGGAATCAAGTCGTACAGATCACCGAGGAGACAATTGCGAAACATGAAGGACAATTGGGAACTAAGGTATCAGATAGTATCAGAAGCCGACTGCGAGAAGATTTTGAGAGAACCCTTGTAAGCATTTTGCATTATCAGTTGAATGTTTTATCAGGAAGGATTTATTATCTAGTTAATAAAAAGCTGTTAAGTGTGTATGCTCTTTACTGTCATTACTCATTAGTGTACATCCAGTTCTCGGAAGATTTTGAAACAATTGCTCATATCCGTAATCACGAGATCATTCTTATTGCAGACGATCCTTAAATCCACCGCATATACTGAAGGGTTTTCTGCTGGCAAGCGCCATTATCCACACCGTACATACTGACGATTGTTTGAGTTCTTTCTCCCATTCTCCGTCGCAAGAGAGTGCAGAGTCAAACTGCTCTAGGTTTGAATCATTTTTATGCTCTGCTATATTTCGAATGCTCTTTTCTACATTTGATAGAATAGGTATGTGACCATTTAAAACTTTATGACATGCTTCCTTTCTAAAACTAATGTTTTTGCGAGTGTGTTTCGTGTTTACGATTTATGATGCTGATAACAAAATCTGGCTAGTGCATTTGACTTAATACTCAGCTCATCAGTACGTTGTCTTCCGATGACAGAACAGCTTATTTGTAGGGTTATAACATGAACCTATGCAGAAGTGTTTATATCGGTTATGTACACATACATAATTAAGACATTCACGACAGTATCAGACAAATAATGTCGAGCAATAGATAGTATTTTGGTTGAAGGTGTACGGTTTCTGCTGCAGCGTTGAGTTCCGTTTGGTTGAAGATGTGTCATTACGGTTAAAACACGGACCAGTTTGATTTTAAGCAATTTCGATCAAGCCAGATTTATGCTGAACTTGGAGATAGAGATGAGTCTATGATCGTAGGGACGCAGAGGATTACAACCCAAATTTATTGAAACATGAAATAACAGCCAATGTTAATAACAGCCACTTTTGAGGACTACAAAAAAGGCGAGAACTCCACCATGGATCAGCCGCATCAAAATACAATTTCTCTTTAGGACTTTTTGTTTCCCTAAAATTGGAACCGTAGCAGTGCTCTATCCATTTATTCACTCGACCAATTTCATTTTTTTTTAATTTTATTGCACAACAAGAATTCAAACAATTTAAATAAGGTTTTGGACCTATTTAGTAAGAATGGAATTGTTGGGGGACTTTTAGGTTGAAGCGGACTTGGGCTTTGAGAACATCCTTTTGTCTCCCTTAATACGGATTCGTAACAAGTCCCGGAATATCTCGAAAGAGTTAGCTTGCCTTGAGAAATACGTTGGTAACATCAACGGCTCAATGATAGCATGAATGATCAAGATAATGACTTGCTCAAGTGAAGCGTGAAGCGGAAGCTAGAAGATTGTCAGTTTACATGAGAGAGAAGGGATTTGCATAGTTGCATGGCATTCTTTGCTGGATAATCTGAGCTTTCCTAGGGTGATAGTAAGGTTTCTAATGATTGAGATATTTGATGCAAAGCTATGGAAATTATTAAGGTTGCATGGATGGTGATGCTTCGGCTTTGGAGTAGGCTTCTGGGCTAAGTGGAACTTTTTGGGCTTCTTCCTAGGTGGTTCTCTTTCACTACATTTTCTCTATCTCCTCCTCCCTGTTTTTCTGAATCCCCTTTTGATGGCTTCTCTCCCTCCTTATGTAAGTGAAAGCTTCTTCTCTAGGTTTCAAGAGAATATCCCTTTGTGGCTTGGTCTTCCCCTCCTTTCTCCCTAGCTATCCTATTATTCCCATTTTGGTGTAAACTAGCTGCACTGTTGAGACCTGCCATATTGTTACTTCCTAAGGCGCAGCTTTCCCAGGGTGGCCTTTAGCAAGCGCTAAATCTGGTAGCGCACTTCATGGCTTTTGCGCTTTGGTTGTATGTGCAAGCTAGGAAGGGAAAGTCAGCATTAAATGTCTGACTTGCTGGGCTTAACATGCATTTAATGTAAGAATCTACTTTAATCCTAACCAAGGGGGGCTGGCTTGCTAGGGAAAGGGATAAACTAGGCTAGTTCTCTCTCAATGATGCATGCGTGAATACAAAGGGTATGGGCTTGGATCTTTGGGCTCCCAAGCAGCTCAAAGTCTTCCATGACCCCAATTCCACGTAGGCCCGATAACCTTTCGTAACTATCCACACCCAATCCACTTGGCAAGCCCCAAATATGTGACTTGGGCGTAGCCATGATTTGTGGCGAAGGAAGCATGGCATGATGAATAGGCATGAGCATAGCGCGACATGGCATGTTTGTAAATATATTCCGCGTTGATCGCATGCCTTGGCGTGTGCTTGGGCTTGAATGTAGGCTTTGCATGACAATTGGACCTTAAGATTTAGTTGGGTTGGTGTGTGACATTTTTGAAGCCCCAACAAGAATATTCTCATAATTATCCATTGACATGACATGTTGCTTTTTTCATTTATTTCATTTTAGAATCAGTTGTTTTTAAAACATGATGGTAAGGATAAATCTTTTGTTCCGTACTAATGTGTAAAAGATGTTCGCCGCACTTAAAAGTCGAGTATTTTTTAATTACAACATTTCAGTCCCACTAAAAAAACACAAATAAATGAAAACAAGATGAAAAACAAATCAACTGTTGTTTCGGGAAATTTAAATTCAAAACTTTGACATAGTACGAGATGAAATGTCACTAAATTAACATAAAAGAAATTGAAGTTGCAGTAGTTTAATTAATTTTTGTGACTGGAAGAGGTACAATGCTTTAAGCAAAAAATGAATACAAATGAATCACAACCATTCCCATTGTTATCACAATTATGTATAACATTCATAACTTGACATTTTTTTCATAATCAAATAATAGAAACAATAATTTAACGTTAACATTAACCAACTCTAGAAGTAGAAGTAGAAGTAGAAGTAGCATTATCACCTTGTGGCTCGTTTCAACGATACCTTCATCGAAATGGCCACAAAGATCCCAACCTACCCCACCTCACTGCGCCGTCTTGTCCGCCTCTCTCTTCCACTATTCGAGCCCCCCGACTCGACCAATCCGCCACCATATACTGGAATCTCAACCCGACAAACCGGGCAAGAGTTGTGGAGCCTCAGCCACGGAACAATACAATCGCTGTGGTATATGTGATTGCATGACAACTCCCTCGCCTCTCCACCAATCTTAAACTCCTCCATGCAAATTGGGCAACAAGACTCATTGCTCAAATGGACCTCGCAGATTTTCACAGTTGGTATTGCGTTGATTGCCATTTCAGGTACTGGAGGCGGGCCGGGCCTGTCGTTTTGGGTTAGTTCTTCGATCAGTCCGTGAAGGTCCGGCCCGAAAAAGTAGTTTCCTGGATCGACTACACGTGGAACAGGTAGTACTGGATTTTCTTGTGGTCTATAAGTGGGCCCCACCGGATTAGAAGGGTCTTCCACGGGTCGGACTATAATCAAATTCCTGGGACGGCTTTGAGTACGAGTGTCGGATTCTGCCTCCCAGTTTTCTCTACCATCAAAGCTAGGGTTGCGCCTCCTCCGTCTCCTATTTGTCCACAAATCTTGAACTTCAGGTTCTATTTCAAAGCAACGTGTCAAATGTCGAAAAAAATATTGCTAATTAATATGAACTCAGTGGCGGAGTCAGGATTTCTTGTGGGGAAGGGCCTCACATAAGTATAGAAGAAAAAAAAAACAAATTGTGGTTTTAAAATTACAATGCAAAACATCATAATATATATCCAAATAATTAAGTAGTCAAAATTAACATATGCATAGATAATTTTATTTATTTATAGTATTCAAAATTATTCTTGGCAAATTTCATTGAAACAGTTGCATCATGTCATCTATACTATTGAATGAATTATTAATCTCAATAGAGAGAATTACTAAAATTTTTGCAAACCCTAAAATTCAAGTAAGAGGTGAGATAGAATAGAAACAAATGTTTTATAGTGAATAATAGAGTTTCGAAAAGAAAAAAAAAAAGAATAATAGAGTATTACAAACCTTTTTGTTCTTTATTGAATAAATTTGGGAGTTGGAATGACTAAATATATAAAATTCAAGAAGAATAGGGAATAACTCTACCAGTGCATAAGTGAAGGACGATTTTTTTTTTTAATTAAAAGTGAATTATGGGTTTTAATTTAATGTTATTGATTTGTGAAAGGGTGATGTTGTCCCCACACCTTTTTTTACCTTCCATACACCCCTCTCAATTTTTGGTCATCGGATCAAATGTATTGAAGAAGATTAAAGGCCATAAGTTAACAAGAAGTGTGTGGAAGGTAAAAAAAGGTATATGGATAGCACCACCCCTTGTGATAAATGACCATTTAAAATATATACTTAGTTTTGGGAAGGGATCTGTTGGATGAAAAATAAATAATTGGATATGTTTTAGTTGTTGAGAAGGGTTGCAAAGCAATAGAAAAAGGTGTAATACTATCTTCTTTTTATTTTTTAGTCAGGGCAGGCCTAGGACTAATTTAGATCTTAACTGCCTCCGCTAGTGTATGGACTGTTTGTATTTTAAATATAAGAGTCATTCGTCGTAATATTATAACTTCTAATCATAATTTGACACATACCAGAATATTTCTTTTAAACTATAAAACAAAAGGTTTATGCACATACGTCGAAATCTAATTTGTCTCCAAAAAAAGAATAAACCTCCTTGAGCCAAACATTTTCGTAATTAAATGGCTTTAAACCGTTAAAAAAACTTATTGATGGACCTATATTTTCATAGTTGGTGTGCATTACTATTGAATTTGTTCATGTTGGATATATTTGGTCGATAATCATAACATCGACGCACATATATTTGATCAAATATGAATAATGTACGAACAACTGTAAATTACTATCAAAATTCAAGACCACGTACCTATACTTGTACCTCTGCCCTCATGGCCAAGGTGGCGTCGCCAATACCATGGACGTCCTCTGGAATCGGCCTCCGGGTCATATAATTCATGGTTGAAAGGCCTCATGAACGGGCCGAACATGAGGGAAAGTGCTTCGAGCAGACGAGCTTCCGGGGATGGATCGAAACTGGTGTAGTCTACGAGAAGTCTAGGTCTAATCGACATGTCAAACTCCGACAGAAACTGCCCGAAACAACGAGGGCAGACTGTCTCTGATGGGTTGTTGGAGACAGTCCTCACCGTCCGATTGCAATGGTAGCACCAGTAGAGTCCGTATAGTGGTGTGGTGCCGTTGTCATTATTAATGTCCCTCGAACGAGGTGGACTCAGAGACATGTTTAGTTTTGGGAGCTTTGAAAAATATTGACGATTCTGATGGAAATTTAGGGTTTTATTTGGGAAGAATATGAAGGAGAAATGATGGAAATGAAACAAAGAATGGCTTTTGGGGTACACAAAGCAATCCTCTTTCCTTCTATTTCTGCATTCTGAACTGTATCTAAAGTTTGCTTTGTGGGTTTGTAGGGTTTATAGGGGGCTTCACACCATTTCGTTTTCACAAAGAAAGGGATGAGTATCATGCATGCATGCAACGATGCATATGTCGACGTTTCGTAGTCAGAGAGTATACTCTTGATGGAGAAACATTGCATCCACCTATGGCTGCGATACCTTGTCCGTCGTTTGCTAATGTATAAATTTTTTTCTTCATGTTTTATAATTAGATAGTTCATTTTCTTAATCATTGTTTAAGCATCACTTATGCAAGAAATCAATTAAATTGGATACTGTTTGGTCATTTGTATGTATTACATAAATAGATAATTTATCATAAAGTTGCTAGTTGATATTAAAATTTTCGATTTGTTCGATACATTTACATGTTTAAATGATTTTCGATTTGATTGATTTTTTTCAGAAAGTTTTAAAAGGATTACGATTATGAAAATGAACATTTCTGCTGATTGTAACATATGGTTAAAATACGTCATAAGGGGTGAGCATGGATTTTTATTGTTTGGGCCTATTGTTTTATGTTTGTGGACTGGCCTAGAAAATGGGCCATGCCTGCAGACTTGGGCCATTGTTTGAAATACTCTCCCAAAAGGAGATATGAAACGATAACTAAGCCCTATGATCGGTCGATCAAATATGTTTAAAGACACATTA